TATGATTTTCAAAGTTTGAACAAACCTTTCTTTATGTTTTCTTATTTCTCAAATCAAAACTATCTTTCAACATTATTTATTTAACCTTAAATAATAATTGTTGTTTTTAAAGTGAACTTATTCATTTTGGACTCAATACAATTTTTATAATAATGGTTTTGAGAAATAGATTAACTTAAGAAAGTTAGTTTACAAGAGTAAAGTTTTCTAACATTGAACTTATTTTATTTTTCTGTATTAATTCACAAAGTTTTAATATTTGAATTTTATATGATTGAAAAGCTCTTTGAGTTTAGTTTCTAATGGATGAAAAAAAATCAAAATCCAAAATTTTTAAGAAAAGATTTTAAATTTTTACTAGATACTTTGTAGTTGTATAAAAACTGCAAAATGGGTAGGTTTGAAAATTCATTATAATTCGTATACAATGAATTAGGTGATTAATTTTATATGGATAGAAAACCTTTTAAGTCTAGTTTCTAAATCTTTAAACAATTTTTAATTTGGAATTGTATAACTCAAGATATGATCAAATTAGTGAGTAGAGTGTAAAATAAGAGACAACCACCCAGTTTGACTAGATCAATCCCTTCCCTATAGGGATCGATTGGTTAGGGTTTCAAAATGACCCGATTGATCTGCCCTTTAAAAGATCGATCCATTTTTTATATAGAAAGCTTTTTGGGTTAAAAATATGTAGAAGGGATCGATCTCCCTACATAAGGGTTCGATCACCTGGGTAGGGGATCGATTGGGTCCCTTACCTGATCAATCAGGTATGCCCAAAAATGTGTATAACGACTAGTTTTTCAAGCTTCCAATGAGCATTTCTTCTTCCAAACCCTTCCCAATAGCTAATTGTTCAATTGCTCTATATATAGGACACTCTAACACACAAAAAAGGTTGATAAATCAAGAGAGCAAGAACCAACAAGCTATATTTTCATTCTCTCAAAAAATCAAGAATTGTTAGAGCTTAAAAATCTATATATTTTGTATTTATTGTATCCAAATCATATTTGTTGTTCATTTATTATTTTATTGTACTTAAACTTGGCAAACACTTAGCCTTTGAGAGGTGTTTTAAGTTTGCATTTCTATTAAATGATTTTATAATCAAGAGGTGAGGTGTTTTCTTGAATTTGTAAGATTTAGAGGTTACTAGTTAGCTTAGAAAATAGAGTTAGGTTACTATCTAAGCCTTAAGAAAAAGATAGAGTTGTAATTTCAATTCAAGAATAATGGATTGAAGCCTTGGTATGGACAACTAAGAAGAGATGACATAGGTGCCATATTGAGAAGGACCGAACCTCTATAAATCCTTGTATTTGATTTCTTTATCCCTATCTATTTACTTTGTATTTGGTTTAAGATTATCAATTTATTGTTATTTACATCATATTTTGATATTGATTTTAATTTTTCATTCAATTAAATTAAAATCATTGTTTTATAAGAATTTGAAGAAATCCAATTCACCCCCTATTGAATCACCATCTCACTTAAAAAGTTAACACTTATATTGAATACAATTAATGACATTAAAGTTTAGTGCTTTGTTTTGATATGCATGCACACATGTATATGTATATGTACATGTATATATACGATATGATTTGAAAAGTATGTCAGACAGATGATTGGTCTTCTCACACAAGCAATCACCTTAATGGTTTAGCATTATAGAGATGAGAATAATTTTAAGCTATGGATCAAAAACCCAAGCTTAAAATAGAATCGCCTAGATAAAAGACCAGGATGAGGTCACTCGATATTGAGATTTGTAACCAAAAATGAGTAAACCATTTTGTCTATCTTAATATGCCAAGTGAAAGTTCAGTTGATTATATGAGATCAAGTAAAGTTATCAACTTAAGTTAGATACTATGAATATCTAAAGTATTATTTGTATAGTATTGATATATAAATAAGGAAAGATATAGGCTTTTTGGGAAAAAGAGAGTAATATCGTAACATATATTTCATACTACGTGTGCATTATTCGACCAATAAAGGTAATAAAAGAATAGATCTTTACTTTTTGTTATATGAAACCCTTAAAATCAGAGGATCTCATATTCAGTACCCTCAAAAACCTTCGACTATTTCTTAAAGTTTTAGTTCAATGTTAGCTATCTTGAATTATTGCCAATGATCATGGATGATTTGATCTAATGGGACATATCTGGATAACAGTTGAATTGAAATGGAAAGATTTTAAAAGAATGAAAAATTATTTTGGTGTCACATTTGATTGTATTCACAAGTCAACTAATTATGTTTGAAATGTCGAACATAATTGTGAATATATAAGTATATCATGTAATATAATAAAGAGAAATCGTGTTAAACTTGAAATATGACCGAATGGGTTTAGGGTGTTACATACTTACTCTGCTTGTTTTTAAGAGTTATTCTACATACCTAACAGTTGTATAAGTGTTTGTATATGATTATAAGCTGCTATATGCACTTGACAGTCGGATAGCAACTGAACTCTCGAAATATGCTGGTCACACAGCTTATTTCCTTGTATGAATCTGATACAAAAGATAGAAAAACGTTTTCAAGATCATGAGAATTTAACACACATTCTGTGCGAGTGAAAGATGTTAATAGCTATCCATTATAACATGGGCACATTCACCCATAATGGCTTAAACACATTAAGAAGCAACTACCTTAGGCAGTTTTGCTGGGATGAAAAAATTGCCATAGGCAATTTACAACAAAACCAAAAATGCCATCCATTTTTTGTTAATCATTAATAAATAAAAAAAAAAAAAAGCCATTCGACCATTAAACAAAGAAAAAGTAAAGAGAAAAACTCTCTCACAAGAATGAAACAAAGAAAAAGAAGAGAAAGCCAGGCAGGCATTTAAACAATTCTCAATGATGAATTCTTCATTTGGTGTGAAAGACTTATGCTGTGGAATCAAATAATTTCTGTATTGTAATCTTATTCAACGACCAGTAATTTAAGTCGAGTTTTTTCTTCCGCTTCCACTTAACAAATAAATATATATGATTTTGTTCATATATATCTTTCATGAATTTTTCTTACAATATATATAATTTATTATTTAATATCTATATTGGATATATAATAACAAAAATTATTTATATCTAATGTTACCACTTAACTTAGGTTTACTTATTTTAAATGGTTTTCAATTTAAAATGTATATGTATGTGTGTGTATATATATATATGTATCATAATTACTAAAATTGAATTGACAAATATCTAATCGTGATTTTTTTTTCAACCAAGCATTTTTTTACTATATCTTGCATTCTTATTTCTTTAAACTTTATTACATATTAAAATAATTAATATTATTAGTTTAAGTACTTTTATATTTTATAATATAAAAATACTCTCTCCATCTTATTTTCTTTATCTATTTTTTGGGATGTCCCAAAATTATGTCATTTTTTTTAACATCTAAAACTTTTTTTTTTTATATTTTAAAATTATTTTTTATTTATTGATATTAAAAATCATGAAACTTTAATTTTATAAAAAAAATTAAATTTTAATATTAAATACATTAAAGTTAAAGTTTTTTTTTTTTTTAAACTCCATAAAAATCAATAACACCCAAATAATTTGAGATGGGGGGAGTATAATACAAAATGTTAAAAGATTTCAAAACCTCTACTTTATTTTTCTAGAATTTATTTTTTATTTAAACATATAATTTTTTTTATTTTGATCTTAATACTTAAAATATTATGTATGATAAAATGTTTTAATAATGTAAAAAATTTATAAAATAATTTTACTTTTATAAAAAATGTTATTTCGACCCCTTTAAACTTCAAGATCTTACACTGATTGGAGTGATCACGAACTTGACTTTCAATAGATGTTAATTTAACAGTCAAGATGTTGATCAAAGTTAAACAACACATTATATTGGTTTGCTATGCTATTCTTTTTACTTAATCCATAACGCGCCGAGCTTTCTCAGGGTTTCGGTTGAAATTGTCAATGCTGAAGGCATAAACTGTTATACCCAGTTCGCAGCAGTGCATAAGCATTGATAACCGGTAAGCCAACAATGTGCCCAGTCCCCTTTACCGGTTTTAACTTTTTATCATATCTTTGGTTTCCATTCATGGTTATGGCAATTTAAGTCGGAATTAGTTGGACCTAATGTAAGTCGGAATTAATTGGACCTACTGGAAGGACCTTACGTAGGCCCTTTCCAAACGTAGTCTATTTTTTGGGATAGAAAGGCTTATAGCAAGTTCGAATAGCAAGTTTGATCAAATTTGTAAAGTTGTTTTTATTAAAACCAACTAAATTAAAATTAAAATAGAGAATCAAAATCAATAAATTAAAAGTTTTTACTGCATAAATAAAATATGTAAATTTTGAAAAAATGTTAATAAACTTTCGTATATTTTTTAGATAAATAATTTTAATAAAAAATTTGATAAAATTTTTATTATTGTATATGTACCGATAAAATATTAACGGTATTTTTAATAATATTTTTTTTTACATATTATTGATTTTTTTATTAAATATTTTTAATTTATCAATTTAAATTTTTTATTAAATTATTTTTAATAAACAATTTCTCAAAAACTTTTTGTAATTTTTTCTCTTTTTGGGATATTAATCTCACTGTGCTAACTTTATCCTTAAGCCTATCCCCATTCATATCAAGTTCTTGTTATTGATTACCTATAAATGTGAAACTCCAGCTTTAGTACAAGACATTCTTATTCTATAAGAACGAAAGAGCATCTAAGTATAAATCATTGGATAAACAGAAAAATACTAGAGCATGAAGGGTTCGAGCTCTTAGTTCAAGTGAGGAAAGTTTAATTTTTTTGACAACCTCAAGTCAAAGAAAAGAGAAGAAAAAAAATATAATTTTAATTTTAGAAAGAAAAGCCTCAACAGATCTCTAAAAACCAAACAAACTTAGAAAGAAACGAAAAAAAAAATGCAAATATCTAAAAGATGATCTACCTGCAATGGCTCACAAGAAGTTAAGGTTTGTAATGCATGTTAAGAGCAACAGTAAAGATTTAGCTGAAAAAGACAGGAGATAAGTGGGCGTCAAAACCAACAGCAAAGTTGCACACCAGAAAAACATCTGCAGGAAAGGCATGGAATTGAACCCACCAGCATTGAGAGCACCATTGGATTCTTGTATTGCTTAGCATGTTTTGTTAAAACCGGTCACAACTCACTAGGTGATTATTTTACGGAGATGTGAGTGCCTCCTGATTAACGTTGGAAAGCGTGATTCCCGTGGATTTTCATTAAAAAATCAGTATTGCTGACCTCATGTTTGTTGGCAATTTTGCTGCATTTTTTTTGCCTTTGAGATGGGTATTAATCTGTAATCGGAAAAGTCTTACTGGTACCAAATAGATTTGGACTGAATTTCCACCCTGTGAGGGCTTATTTGCATTTTAGAGTAAAGTTTGAGGATTTATTTAGGTATTATAACAAGTTTAAATAGAGGTGACAAGGTTCTGAAGCTTTTTATACAAGCGAGTGTGACAAATTTAACAAACTTTAACCGTTTTTTTTTTTACAGCAAGACTAAATCACAAATAGTGGTGGTAACTGTCAACGGCAAACTGCTACTAAATGTTAAGTAAAACCACAGGACCCAGGTTCAGGTAAAATGTAGGAACTTACCTTAAACCAAGCATAAACTAACCAACCACTGCTTCAGAGCTAATCCAGAAAGGAATACTCAGTTTCTTGCAGACAGAACTTGCAATTCTCTGCTGCAAAGTAACCAGCATCTCTTGTTCTTTACCATTTTAAGCAATAAAATCAGAAAAGATAAAAGTTTTCCCAGGTACCTGCCTCTTCATCTACTGATGTAAAATCACTCAGTGAATGATTTACCGAACATTTTGTTACTTATGATGTTTCTTATTACAAAAAGAAGCAGAAAGATTATCAGCTAGCTGACAATCCTAGTTTTATTTGGAATGGAAGAAGGATTTGTGAGTAACAGCAAGAACTGTAAAAATGTCAACAGTTTTTTACAGTCCTCTCAATTTACCAAAACCACTGCTGAGACAAAGCCTACAACTTTCTTTATCACTGAAAATACTTGCAAAATGACAAGCAATATAATACTCAATGACCATAAAACTAAAAATATAGGCAGGTCTCATCATTAGGATCCCATTACAATATTCAGTTTTTATCTCTACTGTTTGTGATTGATAAACAGCACAAAAGCGCAGATAAAAGTATTCTAACAAGATATCAACCACAACTCGCTGTACTTATTGAAATAATTACAATTTAATGACTATCATAGTTATATGTCCAACATAAGTCACACTGCAAAAACTAAACTCATAGATTCTAAAAAAAATATACAAAAATAAAGAAATGGGAAATCTTTGCTAAACAATTAGCACGTTAATTTTGAGACCTGCAACCAATTGGACGGATGTCCCAACTTACCTCACCTGTGGAGGGTTCTGATAGGCATGACCTGCTTCATGCTTTGGAGCAAGTGGAGATCGATGGTGCAACGGCTGCTGGCCATGCCTGCGTGTTGTGTGATGAGCAGAACGATTTCTTCGCTCTATTGGCTTTTCATTGATCGACTCAATCTGTTCCAAAGTCTCTATAACTTCTTTCATTGATGGACGGTTCTTCGGTTCAGGTGCAAGACATTTTAAAGCAAGCTGGGCTATTCGAAATGCAGCTTTGGAAGGATATTTTCCCTCCAATTTATGGTCCATTATGCTCTTCAATCTTCTTCTCTCGGATAAATATGGTTTTACCCAGTCCACCAGATTATGTTGCCCACTTGGGCGGTTTGGATCAAGCACTCGCAAGCCTGTTAATATTTCAACTAAAACAACACCAAAACCGTACACATCGCTCTTTACGTATAAATGTCCTGTTTAATCAGAAAAGTACTTAAATCATGAGAAGTGCAAAGTAGGTTCTGCTCAATTGTCTAAAAATGCAGCAATGGTGCAAAGCAAGGACATCACTTATGAAAGCGCCCAAAATTTGGAAAGGATTCAGAGGATTACCAGTAGCCACATATTCTGGAGCTGCGTAACCATATGTACCCATGACCCTTGTTGTTACATGTGATTGGCTAGCTGAAGGACCAAATTTGGCCAACCCAAAATCCGATATCTTGGCAGTATAAGACTGCAATGTAACCAATAGCCAAACTATATTAAATTCATGTTTCCTTTATATGTTTTCAAGGAGAATGTTCTATGTTATCAATTATTTAAGCCTTTAAATAATCCCAAAGAAAAAGAGGCTTTCCAGCTAGTATAAATCCGTTATCACTAAATAATTATAATACCATCCCTTAAATAATTCCGGTCATATAATTCATGAGTACTTGTATGGAAACTTACCCCATCAAGTAGTATATTTGAAGCTTTGAAATCTCTGTAAATTACTTTTTTGTCTGACGTGTGCAAGAAAGATAGGCCCTTTGCTGCTCCTATTGCAATTTTAAGCCTTACATTCCATTCAAGTGATTGAACAGTAGAACCCCCTGGATAACAAAAACCATGTACAGTGATACGAACGAGCTAACTCACTAAAAATAAGAGATGGAAAGTGTGCGCACATAAATATATGCTAACATGAGAAATCAGAGATATAAACAACTAATTTCTAAACTCTTACTTCCAAATAGATGGTTTTCCAAGCTACCCTTCTGCATGAACTCGTAAACAAGAAGAAGCTCTTTATCCTCCCAACAGTATCCCAGCAGCCTTACAAGGTGAGGATGAGACAACCTTCCTAAGAAATTTACCTCTGACTGCACCAATAAATAAGGAAGGAAAAGCCTTAACAACCAAGCATTTCTATACATGTACAAGCACCAAACAATTCCCAAAATGCAGATGTGCATATGTCTGTGGATGTACATCACAGAGAGCGACTTTGAAGATCTATAACAAGTAGAAGTCAGAAGCACCTATTAAAACGACATGGAACAACATATTATGATGTTGTATGAATACGAGATATCGCATTTGTAAAACTCTTGGAGCTACAAATTTGCTTTGGGGCTTCAATGGGGCTTAGCAGAATACTTCTACTGTGTGTTTTTTTTTTCTTCTTCTTTTTGTTCTTCCTCAATCAGGTAACAGTTGACTATCGTATAAGACAAAGTTTTACTTTAGGCTTTTGTGGTCATGAGAAGCTGATGTTTTACATGGACGAATATTTTATGTTTAGAGAAAACCCATGGTAATAATTAAAGAAGAAAATCAAGTGACAATTTCTTAAAACAACATTTAATTTTCTCAATACGTTAATTCCTTCCCAAGATTAATGAAATCACCTGCCATTCCTCAAATCCTTGCAAGCTCTCAGAATTCAATTTTTTAACAGCAATGAGGGTTCCACTTCCACTCTTCCCTGGTGCCTTCTCATCAAGCCAACCTTTGAAGACTTTTCCGAAACCTCCCTCCCCAAGTACCATGTCAGGCCTAAAATTCTTAGTTGCAGACTTCAGTTCTGCAAAACTGAAGATCCTTAGGTTAGGAGTGGGCAAAATCTGCCCATTTAGAGAAGACTCATCGCCACTTGAAGCTGAGAACCGGCTGTCCCGGGAGATGTTACTGCCCCTAGAAGTTCCAGAAGATGCTGTGTTGCTAGTTGTCTGAGATATCACTATTGCAATCACAGAATTGAATTGTGCTCAAAAAATGTTGATTGTGAATGTAACATATGGAGTTCTGATACCAATAATACAGTAAATGAAATACAACAGTATGTGATGATCAAAAACACAAAATCCATAAGAGAAATACAATGGGATAAACCATATTCCAAACAAACACAAGTAAATGATCAAAATACCATACAAAACCAGCACCAAGAACTGAGTTTTTGGTGATGAAAACAAAAAGAATAGAGAATGTTTCAAATAAATTTCAACTAAAAATGAAAACTAAACTGAACCCACTAAACAAAATTAGGCAATCTAACTGCAAAACTAGGAAAAGGGGGGGAGTTAATATGTTTTGAAGGATACCTGAACTGAGATGACCAGTGGTGCTTGGTGTTGGATTACCAGCTGGAGAACCCCAGCAAATTCCCATCTTCAAATATCTCTCCTTCCCTTATACTCCTTGTTGGAGCATAACCAGACACAGAAATCAGATTTTTTTTTTTTTTGCAGAACACACAATATCCAAGCAAAAAAGATGTCTTTCAACAAGTTAATGACAAAAAAATTCAGCTTTCTGGCTTTGATCAGCCAATCTTTTTGTCAATTCAACCATAAAGAAAAGGGTACTTTTGTATTTCTTAGCTGTTATTTGATCTTTTCAACTGACTTGAATTCTCCGTTTCTGTTTCCACTAACTGGCCAAGTCCCTGGCTTGGGTTTTTGTAATTCAACCAAATTCAGCAACTAAACTTTGACAATGGAAACAACAATAAAAAAAAACTGCCCAAAAATAAAATCAAAGTGCATGTTTTAAATTACTAAATAAAATAAGACATTAAGACCGAGTCATTGGATGTTGGCAAACGACATTGCTGAGAGAGCTTCTTCGCGGATAATGCAGACTGGAACGGTATCCTTGGTCAACTGCCGTGTCCCGGAAGAATGTCACTCAAACATTTATGAAAAAAAAAAGATTAAATTTATTACTTTTAATTAAATTTTCAAGGACTTCAATCTTGAAAAAAAAAAATTCAAGGACTTGGCATTTATTTGTTCTATGCTTTCAAATTGCTTTGCAATTTGCATCACGGCCAAATGATAAATTTTAATCATACTAAGTAATTAATAAAATAAAAATAAAAATAAAAAAGTTGTTAGGTGGAAGATCACTGCCTGCAATCAAATTAAAGATAAAAGAGCATTAGAAATTATTTAAATTTTGTTCATGGAGGTAATGCAATGGACTATGATGTCACAACCATAATCCCAAAATTTATATAATGAAAATATATCTCATGAGATCTTCACACTTCTTTTAGAATTATATATTTTACTCATTCTTGCTGAAAATAATTTATCTAAACTTTTTTCTTATTTATATTTGATGTACCAATAAATCAATAATGATATCTCATAAAAAAATAATTTATATATATATATATTAATAATACATCAAATATAATTTTCTTAATACGTAAATCATGAATCCATGTCAAGAATTTTTTTTTTTTTTCACAATTAACTTAACTCTCTATTAAATTCATTATGAAATTTTGTGAAAATGTACCAAGCAAACAATTCTCGAAATTATTTGTAAAACATAATTTATAGTAGTATTTTGCAGGTTCGTTGTATTAAGTTTACATGGACAAAATTTTTTATTTAAATAAATTTTAATTATTAAAAATATTATTTATCAAAAATAATTTTTAAAAATATTATATTATTTTGTAAATTTAATATATACAAATATTAATATAATTATATTTTATTAATAATAACTATGTCAATAATGATAATTTTAATAATGAAATAAAATTAAAATTAAATATATTAAAAGTATCAGTCATAAGCTACATACTTATATCATCAACATTCTTGTATGCATAATTGATATATTTTTATTTCAAAAAATATTTATATATTTTTTTAACTAATGTGAATTTATTAATATTAATATTCATTTAATATTTTTATTTTTATTCACATTAATTATATTATTCTTGATATGATTTTCTTACTTTTTAATTATATTTTTCAAAGAAATCAATATTTTACTTACTTACATAATTAAAATTAATAGAAATTTTTAAAAATACCCTTACAATTTTCTTAAAAATTATATCTTTAAAAAAAATTGAAATAACTATTTTTATTATATATTATTGTTTATTTCTGATTCACTTCTTTTCCTCTTTTCCTTTTCTTTATTTTCTTAATTTCTTTTTTGTTTCTTTATTCTCCAAAGTTAAAAAAAAAAAAAAAAATCTACATTTGTCAAGCAATTAGGCCACTCAATCCTTCAATCCAGTAATTGTCCCTTTGAACATTTGTTTATTGTTTATTATTTATTTTTAAAGTATGAAAGTATAAATATATAGGATTTAAGTTTAGATTTGTCACCATATTTAATATTAAATTTTGCTAACGTGTTTTCATTCTATTAAAATTTGTTAATTATACTTTTAAGTTCGTTGATCAGTTTTCATAAATATTAGTAAGGGTGAGTGCAAATTTACATAAATTTTGTTACTTTTTTTTATTTAAAATTAATAAAAATTATAAGTAAAATGATAATTTTTTTAAAATTACACTCGTAATCAAATATTATATTCGAATTGAATAATTAATTATTTTATCCATATAATTAATTAATAAATTATAATTTAATTAAATAATTACATTCACATATAATAAAATTTAAATCTAATACCTCAAAATTTTAAAATGACCTCTTTTTATATTAAGTCAAAGTTCATTAATAAATAAAATGATAAAATTTAATTAAATTAAAATATATAATATGACGGCAAAATTTGTCATAATTCTCCATATAATATATATATATATATTTTTTTATTTATTTATTTTTTTTGGATTGATAACTCTTTACCGCATGACGAATCGAGGCTTGGTCCATATTCATGAAATCCAAGATTTGGAATCTGACATCTAAGCATTTTGACTTTTAATTACTTTTCCCATATTGGTTCAACTCAAATTGCTGGTCCAACCGAGGCATCTGTCTCAGCCACAAGCGAAATAGGGTGGCAGTTTCTTCTTCGTATCACACTTTTTTTTTTTCCTTCATAAACAAACTACTATTACTTGACCCCTCTTGGTCCTAGGCTTGATTTTGTTTCTTTTAACAAGTAAAACTACCCCCTTTTTTATTTTATTTTCTTTCTTCATTTCATATAGATGAAAAGAAAAAATAATTTAGAAGAAGTTGCATGACACTCTCTCTATTTGTTTTTCCCATCTTTTATGGTCAACTTTATAGCACTGTGTTTTTTTTTTCCATATAGTGGCAAGAAAGTCAACTTTATACCGAATCTATTGCTTTCAAAATATTATTTATCACTTTATTTTATTTTATCGTTCAAAACAAAATTTTTACTATCACTTGTTTTGAACTTAAACTTACAAAAATTTTCAAGACTTCGAGTACATGTTTTTAAGTAAAATGGAAAATTATATATATATATATATATATTATATAATAATATATACAAATAAATTTATTACATAAATACTTACGTGAACAATTTTTTTGAATAACACATAAGATATTTTTAAAAAAAATAATATAATTTTTTTAATTACAAATTAGATAATTTAAAAATTATAAAAATTAAGTTTATTCAAATCTTTCAATAATTTTTTTTAATTCTGATTTAAAAAAATTAACTTTTTGAAAAATTTATGTAAGACATTAAAAATTCAAATAATTTTATATAAGATTTTGAAAATTCAAAAAATTTTCATCATAAATCTTTAAATAATAAGACTATCAAAATGATTATATCCATTCGAACTCTAATTATCAAATTTATATTTCAAATAAATGTAAAAAATTTAATATTATTTTTATCACTTATTATATCCATTTTAAATTTTAAAAAATTAATTTAAAAATTATCATTTAATCCTAATTGTCTCTAAAGAATTATTCTATAAATTTAAGACTATAAATATATTGTGTTATATATCAATTTTTTATTTTTTTAAGTAATTTTTTTAAGGTATATTCTAGTACTATTATAATTCTTTTATAAAGTTTTTAAAGATATATTTTATTGTTATTACAGTTTCATTTATATGAAAAATAATATTTTTTTCAATTTATTTTTCCACATATTTTTTAACATTTTTCATATTTTGTATAATAATTTTGTCAAGATTACTAAAGTGAAAATGTGTTAATCTTCTTTTATTATTTAATTTATCAATCAATAATATATAATTTTATTTTTAAAAAAATAATAATTTATTTTTATTTAATATAATTTTACAGGTGTATAAATATTATTATAAACAAAAATATCCAAAAAAAAAAACAGTTTTTTTTTGTTATTTTTAAAAATTTTAATTTTTAATGACAAGTCAATAAATATAAATTTTATATATATTATGAGTTTTAAAATTTTGAATATAATTTTAAAAAAGAAATTAATTTGTAAATATATATATTCATATTAAATAAATAAAATTATTTTGCATAACGCACAGGTTATAATCTAGTAAAGAGATAAATTTATAATACAATTATTAATTTATCGACTACTAATTATTATTATTTTTATTGTTATTATCATTTAATAGATAAAAATTTAAAATGAGTTGATACCTTTTTATTTTAAGATCAAGATAGATCATCAATTTAAGAGAAGATTTATATTGAATTTACAAATATTTATCAAAAATTAAATCTAAATATTATAAGGAAGTATTTAATTTTTACTCACTCAATCAACTTCGTTGACTTTGGCTACTAATTATATACTATTTTCTCTTGCTATTTTTGACGAAAATAAATATATATCTTGCTATATTGTTCTCTCCATGTCGTTCTCAAGTTGAATGGACCGTTTGGAGGCATGTCCATTGTCCAATACTACAGCCTGTTTCCACCAATTTTGGAGAATTAATGGCTATTCTTGGCCAAGTTTCCCCCTATTAAAAGTTGAAGGCAAAGCTCATTTTTGTTCTTACAATTCCCGGGGCCGTAGTGGCTCAAGTTTCAAGCCATGTTCTTACAACCATAGTCTAAAGGACATAGTATATGATCTTGTCTTAGAGAAACAGTACAGTTCACATCAAAGAACAACTCCATGAAGTCGCACAAAGAAAGTTTTAATTTTCATACCAGTTGGGTTAAAAAGTTCAATTTAAAGATTGCTTAAGGATTAATGGTCAAAAAAAAGGCGCATCTGTTCCACAAGAAGGGTTTTAGAAAGTCACCAAGAAGTTCAAATATTGCTTCCATTTGATTGAAAGTGGAATTACAATTCAAAGATTTTACTCTAACTTTGCTCAACATGCTTGAAGTTTGAATTCACATATTTTCAATCTTCAAGTTCATATTGAAACAAAATCTTCCAACTTCAGGTTTGTATTTGACATCTCTCTCCTGCATACAACCCGAACTCGAATTCTCTCAATCTTACATGCAGAAATCTACAATCTGCAATGTATAGAATAGCAAATCTACTTTATGAAACTTCATATATAGAGTACGTATCTTCATCTAGAAATGAATTAAGGCTACATCATGGCTTCCAATGTTACAAATGAAACCATTTTGCTTGTGGACCTAAGAATTAGGATACACTGATCTGTACAACAATAATTTATTCGTTTACAATAAAAGTTTAGTGTAGCTTCATCCGCTCCTATTCAACCGGACCTGCTTGGTCACCTCACCCGGAGCATTAAATCTGAAACTCAACATTCTAGGGTTAACTTAATTGAAAGAGAAAAAAAAAATTATATCAATTATGCTCAGAGCTGCAATGCTAAATCTGGCTGAGCTGAATCAGCTCGACTAGAACTGGGTGACCCAGGAGACTGAAATCTGATATTCAAGTCAGGTGGAACTGAATCGAGTTTCTGTTGTGACAACCTTGAGTCTGGTTTTTGTTGTGGTGACAGCCTCGAGTCTGGTTTTTGTTGTGGTGATAACCTAGAGCCTGGTTTCTGATGTGGAGATAATTCTTGCCTCGATGGCCGGGGATGAAGCCCTGATTTTGGGGCTGCCACTGTCTCACACCCTGAATTTGGTAATGGACAGCTGGGATTCTTTGTACATGAATTTTCTGAAAATTTAGGGTCATTTGAGTTTGCAGTTGCTGGATGCACAAAGTTAGTGGCAGTCCTCGAGACAGTGTCAGGCCTCTGAGATGACTGGAAACTGAACCCAGGAGGTCTGCCAGCCCCAATTAGTTTCGTCATCTGGGCTGGAAGGTTAAACCCATAGGCACCATTATATCCATTCATGCCAGGATGAATTGGAGGACTTTGATGAATCTGGAAGGGAGGCCTCGGCCTGACCACTCCTGCACTGCTGTTTGTCATGTTAAAAGCAGAACCGGAAGATCCCTCACTGGCTTCTGTCTTTTCATTCCATGATTCAGTAGATATTTTAGCTGATGCAGGTATAGGCTTACTTAAATGGCCCTCTGAGATGGAGTGAACTGAAGGAACATGCTTCTCAGACAAATTATCTGCTTCAGGCTTGTCAGATTGTTTATCTTCTCTGGTTTCCAAGGCATGAGATGCAGGAACAGAACATGAATTTGGATGAACAGAGCAGGGAAGTGATGACGCCTGCTGGCCTGGTGGAAGCGAAAGTGAAGGTATTAGTAGTGGTCTCTGTGCTGGAATATCATTTTCCCCAACCCATCCAGGACCAAAATTTAGTCCAGTTGGTAAACACTTTTCTATCTGTTTAGAAGCAATTTTCCAGGCAACAGGACCAAGGTTTGCAGCAAATCGAGCTAGACTTCGTGTGTAACCAAGCTCTAAGTATACCCCCACCTGCTTCACATGAAGAGCAAGACATCAATCAAAGACAGGCCAAACCTAAGATTCCCCACACAAGCTGGTCCACCAGAAAGGATAGAGCAGCACATGCTATGGGCAGTTGTAAACAGTGTAAATACAATTTCCCAATCCCCAGTGGAAAATTCCAAGCTATACAATTGATGTAATTGAAAAGTGGTAATTATACAGTCCACTGCTTTTCATCTTTTATTATTACTGTTTAAGATTCCCTCATACCCTAACAAATACACAAAAAAACACATATTTCAGCCACCTAGGGAAGAAAATAAGTAACATATCCATATTACCATGGAATTCTGAAATTATGTGGCCTGGACATATTCTAAAGTTTTATTTCATCATTAGTGTTTCAAATTTGAGCCCACCACCAATAGTTGTGGACATAATTTATTGCAGTGAGGAGCTTCGGTATTCTCCTCAATAGAATTTAAAAGATAATCATACATCTATATGATACGTACAGCCACTAGCTGCTTCCTCTCTCCATCAAAAGTAGTCAACACAGATGCCTCCTGTGCAGCAGCTGATGGATGAAATAGATTATAAGTGTTACGCCTATTCTCATCCAGCACAAAATGCCTTTTTCCATGCTTCATTATATAACCTTTTAACATAGAACCTGCAAGAAAGACAAATGCTTCAATGGATCACAGCCTTCTCATTAAACAGGGGACATATAGAAAGGGTGAGAACTAACGAGAACCACAGAAGAAGCAATCTCAAAAGGAGAAAGTTCTAGGGTGTTTAACCTGTACCTTCATCGCTTCTGTCATATTTGTTTTCAGTAAACCAGCCCGAATTAACATCAATGCGAGAACCATAAATTTTTCCAGATGAATCTGCAAAATTAGACTTGTCAGAAGCAAGAGGCCCTTTCCTAATGTCATGATTGGACCATATGGTGTTCTCTGCCCCAGTAGCAAGGGTGGCATCCAAGGAAAATTCTGATGCAGCACGCTCCAAGGAAGGCCTGCCTGGTGGCTTCTTGAAAATTTTGTTTGGTGGTCTACCTCTCCTTATCACCTTGGGTTCTGCTTCATTATCATCACTATCTTGCCTTAAATTATCAAAGTTCTTTTTAGCTAGCTCTTGTATGGATCGTGCCTGATAATATATTAAAGTTTTCAGACAAAACATAAAGTTGACCTCCAATATAAATTAGCAGTTGTTACCTGACCATACCTGTCGAAAATATATAGTATCGGGTGCATTATACTGCATTGCATTTGAACATATGAGGATAACATCTTTCTGCAAGATAATAAAAGGAAACATCTATTGACATATGAGAAAGTTTTAGCTTCTTATAGAAACAAATAAAAGCATCAATCAGGGGTGGCTTATTGACCAGATTACACATTTAAAATTGTTTAATAATTTGAGATGAGAAGAGATTAACTGAAGTGCATCATCTCTTCATCCAGACTACAGAAGAAAGTATATTTTAAATTTCAAATATAAGGAAATTACAGTCTTAAATTTGCTTCAACAGCAGTTTTATTTGATGTGAAGAAATAGGTTGAATATTTGTACATAATCTCTAATCATCACCAGAACCTTCATTGCCAACAGATGACTATCAAAAAGAAAACTAAATAAAAACATTTTCAGCCTTTCATCCTTTTCCTTTTTCCCACTCCGCACATCACATCTATTCAGAGAACAAAAAAATGATAGCAAAACGGGAGCAGACAAGTTTAAGATAATGACTACAAACAAAAACAATAAAACACACACAAGTTTCTTGCATTGATATAAGCATGCTTTATTATCACCAAAAGGAGGTGAACTTGTAGCATATGCAGTAAAAGCAAGATTTGCTCTCCCGACAGTACCAAGTGACACTTAATAACATGGCAATAACATAATTTTGTTTGGTTTGGTGGCCCTACATTGAAGTTCATTCCACAATAACTCTATTGGCCATCAAAAGAATTCTTTGAAGTTGGATCACTTTAAACCAGACCTTTAGACTCCTAAATGCAGATGTGATGCATACTGACATCATCATCATAATAAAGATATAGAAACTGAAAACATATATGGCAATGAAAACCTTACAGCAGGCTAAAATGCAAATATCACCTTAAAGGAATTCACTATCAATGAAGGCAACTGAACAAGTAATCGCCACAAGGCACAGAGACAAAGAAACATATTGGTAGAATCGGGAAAAGCAGCTAAAACTATGCTTCTTCAAACCACAAATGTATCATGGATATAAAACAAGATTCGCATTAAGCCCAGTTGTTATGCTAATTGCTTTATAAATTTTTGAATCAATGAATCCAGCAGGATGCAAAACCAGGATTCAAGGCCAACATAGCACTTTGGCTAGTGGCTGCAATCATTGTTCCTAGCAATCACAGGAAATCATATGCACATCCACGGAAACAATCCAAGTAGCATGCATGTTGGCTGTTTACTATTATATAGAATCATAAAGCAAAAATGTAAGGCAACCTAATGAGCCAAGACACTCGTTTTGCAATGTTTTAATTGTAAAATTACTTATTAGTTGAGATCAACACCCATAACCCGGTAAATAACAAGATCTCAAAGTTTTAGGAATAACTACTATTATGGAATCATGAAACAAAAAGAAAGCAAATAGAGAGACCAATGTAACACCATCCTTTCTAACTGCCTTGTCTACCTAGTCCAAACTCAAAAAAGCCAGTGCAGAATCACCTCTAGGTGATTTTAGCAGAATTAAACAAGAAATTGAGAATCCAGCTAAGCAGAAGAGAACACAATCAGCAAAATACTAAAATAATGGACAATGATAGAAGATAGGAAGCAAAAGATAAAATGACAAACATGTAAACCAACCTCAAACTGTTCTAAGTTGGCATAAGCACCGCTATCAAGGTTTTTCCTAATAGTTCCAAAATCCATCGGATGTTCAATAACTTCATGGTAGTCCGGCAGCTGAATAAAAACAGAAATCAAATAAGAAAAAGAAGGTATAATAACAACAATGACACATTTAAGTAAACGTTCCGTCATTTGCAGATCATACCTCTTTAGGGTCCACTGGCTCAGAAAACACACCATAAGTGTCCTTCCTGAAATTATTTAATTTCAAAAGAAGCAGAGCTGAGAGAACTGGTCATCAAAAAGCTACATGTAAGAAATCAAACCAAATATCATGGGAGCTTATTGAAATACTTTTGAAGCCTGTCTAGGATGAATAGCAACAGCTTTTTGTCTGGTAAGGCCGTTGAGGGTCCCAAATCCAACTGACCACCTACACATATTGACAATGATTAGTAATAAATAAATTAATAACTTAAAATTCCCGTAAAAAAACTGCTTTTTTAAGCAATTTTTATAGGATCATAAGCAAACCTTGACTGTTACTTGTGGGTTTTGCACCAGAAACAGATTTCTGTTCCTGAAAATAAATCACAATAATAATAATAAATAATTAGTAAATAAACAAGCAACAGGCTTTATTTCCTTAGGTGGGTGAGGAACCACCAAGCAAAGTAGCTGTGAAAAAAGCAAAGCAGCATAGCATTCAAAGTCCCAAAAAAGGCAAAACACAGTTACAATAACTAAAAAAAAAAAAAAAAACCTACAATAACTAAAAAAGAAAGGACAAAATTAAACTTTTTATCAACTATCACAGTCAAAATCATTATTATTATTAATATTATTATTATTATTATTATTTCTCTCGGATTGAGTAACTGAAGAACCCAACCAACAAAATAAATAAATTCACAAACTTTTTTTTGTAAAAAATAAAAATTAAAAAAAAAAAAAAGGAATCACCAAAATTTCAAAACAGAAATTCCAAAAAACAGGGAATAAGTCAAAACCCCTATATTTACTCAAAATTGTAGAAAAACCCCACCAACTCTCAGGTCCGAAATTCAAGGAATCTTCAATTCCGTCAAAAGGCAAAAAATAATTGGCGCTTTTTTTTCAAAAAACCAGTTAAAATACCAAAAATTGAAACGCAAAAGAAAAACCCTCTAAAAAGTTGAGAATGTTTTTATTTTTCCCAAAAGAACCTCAAAATTTGCAAACCTTTTTGGAATCAGCAATTCCGGATCCATCCCCGATCGAATTGATTTTCCTCTTCTTGTGACTCGAACACGCGTTACTGTCATCGAGATTCGAATCAGAGCCGCGGGATTCTGAATTAACCGGCGATTTTTGCTGCGAGGAAGGCAACTTGAGAACCAGCTTCAACTTCTTCTCGCGTCGCTTTTTTCCGGCCAATTCTTCATCTTCTTCTTCTTCTGCTTCGTCATCGTTATCCCCCGACGAATGATTGGGATTCCGGCGGGTGGATCGACGGAGAGGAGTAGCAGTGGCAGAGTCGTAATTAGGAGTAATTTGAGGGGCAGAAACATTTCTTCCGCTGTTTTGTTGATTTTGCCGTTGTTCTTTAAGGCTGCGTTTTTGGAGATCTAAAAGAGAAGGTCTTCCTTTCTTCTTCTTCTTCTCAACTATCCTACCCATATCGTTTTTTCCCTCTTTTTTCTCTCTCTGTTTCTTTCTCTTATCTCTACGGACAAACAAACGTGGTCTTAGTTTTCTTATTTTATTTTTTGAAAAAATTATTGTTCTTTGGTTTGTTTTTTACCCATTTTTTAAGGACGTTTATATTTTATTTATATATTATTTTTATTTACGACTTTCAGGACATTGACACGTGATGGTCACGCGAGAAAGACTGAAATCAACACGTTTTGAGAGAGGATTGGCGGAGGTACCTTTGAGTGGAGTCGTGATGAAGGGAAACACATGCTCTCAACTCTCAACGGTCAACAACAACAAACGTGGTTTTTTGGTTCCAACTTGCAATTTTGCAACTATGCTTAGTCGTTACGTTGTGGTAACTTTTTCAATCAGTTTTGACCGCGTCTGGTGTGGTTAATGTCCCAAAACTAACCGTAAAATGACGTGGCAGGACTTGGGTCAAAGTTTTCAGCTGCAAAAGTCAAACAAGGACGATAGCCTGACAAATGCTGACGTGGAGGGTCAATTGTGTGCGGTTCTATCTTGGCAACAATGCCAGTAAGCTGCTAATTGGGGCAATAAGCAAATGATCAAATATTAACCCATAAACAAAAACAAAACCTATCAAAATCTGGTGGCTTCGCAATTTCTCGGGCAGATTTCAACTTTGAAAGATCATGTGCATAGCGGTGTTCACGTGGTAAACCCACCCGCCTCACCCTGCCCTTTCCTTCTATTTCTCAACAGAGACGAGTTTCTCAGCAGGTAAATTTATCTTTTTTCAATGCCTTCTTTGTTTTACTTTGTTTTTATTATTTTTCATCTGATGGAGTCCTAAGAAATTGTGGGTCTTTTTTGTTTTTTGGAATTTTGGATGTTTTAAGGCAGACAGAGCCATTAGGATGGTGGGTGGGTGGGGAGATTCTAGGAGGAAGAGATGTGCAGGTTGGTGGGTCATGGTTGGCTTCTTCCAGGGATTGAAGGTTGGCTTTTATAACCAATACTGGGGAACTTCAATCTATTCCTCAAGCTAAGACCAGAGGACACTTCCCTGTTCGTTTCTTGCAGGTAAAACTATTTTTTCTTATTGATTCGATATCCTTACGTTTCTTTTCATATTTCCATGATTGATGTTTAAGAACCCTTTTTTTGTGCATGTATTTGATCAATTCGAGCCCTTTTCTGCATTTGGTTGTGACCTGAGTTTCTTTTGCCTTTTGTCTTTGCCGGTCCATGATATTGAACAATCAGCAATTATTGAATTTTTGTTGGGACAATTGTAGATTGACAGCCTCCCAAAATTGATCGTTTGTAACTTTTGGAAAGGTAATTACTTTTTGGGTCATTGTTTATCCAGGCTCCGATTCTTAAAACTAGTATATAGTTGTTTCTTCGTAGGTGATATGAAGGAGTGATCTTCATTTTACTACGTGTCAAATCTCAATTCGCATGATAAAGCTTCATTTAAGAAACAACTAACGCGGATACCACAAATGTAAGTTAATGAAGAAAACAGAGAGTTATTGACTTATTGTGGATTAATTTGTCTTTGGACAGTAGTAGGCAACTCTGGGGGGATTAATCCTTCACATTGCTCTCTTTTCGTCTACATTTATTACCTTTATTTTCCACTAATTTCCCTTTACGAGGATCGTATAACCACAAATCAGTACGAGTTACTCCATGATTGAAAAGGACGAGTGTAGAGGGGTTCTTTGTTGAGGTGAGGAAGCATTGCAAACAAGAAAAATAGGATGTGTTAGGAGACAATTGAAAGGAAGATTAGAGCAAACTCTAGAGTACTAAGTGCAACGATAGGTGGTGGTAGGTGGTGAAGCAAAACTAAGTAAGGAAGAAAATAAGGCTAAGAAAAGGATTTAGGAAGAGAAAATTACAAAGAAAATTGAGTAAATTTGTCAAGGTCTCCAAAAGTCCCTTAAATGAATTATGTTAACTCCTATTTATAGGTTTCAAGAATAGGAGTTACATATCTTGAGTGTTGAATAGTAATAATAGTGAAATTAATAGTTATAAAAGGTGTTAATGTATTGGTTAATGAGAGTTTAATTAGCTTTTGGTGATAGGCATAGTGAACATAGAAGTTCATTATCCCTTCTGAAAGAAAGGGAGAAGCACTCACACTTTAAAGAAAGGTTAAAAAGAGACCTCTTAACTATCTTCATATCTAATTCACTAAGCCAAACTCTTCGGAACATCCTAATAGTAAATTAATCCAAGAATCCTGCCATATTGTGGCTTTATTTTCACTTTTTCATTTGATGAAGTGTCTTTTGTGGAATAACTCTTTGTGAAGGAACTTTTGGTAAAAGAGTTTTTGGTAAAAGTATTGTTATTATTCCTTGAGGAAATTGTTTTGAAAATAGTTGTTCCGTGAAAGAGTTGTTTTTTAAATAGTTGTTTCATCAACAACTATTCTATGAATGAATTGTTTCATGAATAGCTGTTCCTTAAAATAATTGTATGGAAACAACCTTATCACTTATTCTGACTTATCATCAATTTTAACAAGTTTTAAAAAATTGTAAAAAATAAAATATTAGCAATCAAAATCAAATATTTACGTTTTGCCCCTGCATGAGAACTCTTAGTATAAGTTCTCATGCACTAGTACAATTAAAGAGTAAAAGTAAAATATAAGATATATTTGTCCTCATAACTTTAAAGATGAATGATATAAATTTCATGAAAAGAAGAAAATAAAATTATATATTTTTTGTGATTGCATATATGTGGATTCATTGCCCCTTGCATGGAAATTGTTTGATACAAATAAAAAAAAAATTTCAGGTATAGAATAAGCAAATTTTAATATTATAAATGAAAAAATTACTTGTGAGACATGTAATGTATGAAAGTGTAAGCCATAACGTTAGTGTTTCTCTAAAAAAAATAAAAGAATTGTCAAATGAAATAAATAATGGGATTGTTTTCCTAAAAAATAAGAGAACAAGTAATAGGAGTATTTTTCTAAAAAAAAAAAAGAATAAATAATGAGAGCGTTTTCTAAAAAAACAAGAAAACAAGTTACGTGAGTATTTTCCTAAAATATAGGAGAACAAGTAATTAGAGTGTTTCCCTAAAAAATAGGAGAACAAGCAAGTAATAGAAATTAAAAAAAAAAAAAGAAGTATAAGTCATGAAAATACTTCTCTAAAAATAAAATAACAAATATTATAAAATAAATCAAGTATTGTTGATTTTAATGATTTAAATATATGACATGATTAATAATATTAGCATTTTATTATATTTGTAATACCTCCACTTATGAGATAGGTAAGGTATATGGCAATAACACTAATATAATTATGTCAGCAGTTAAATAGAACTCTCGACTCATATTAGGGAGATAATTTCTTAATTCAATAAAAAAGAGATGTTTAATCCAATTAAAAGCGATGGAGTTGTGGCCAAAAAGCATTAAGAGAAATTATTTATATCATAGTATTTAAAGAATTGTGGCCAAAAAATAAACGATAAAGCCACGGCCAATAATTGTATTCTTAATTTATGAAAGAAATAATTCTCAACTTGGTATCAAGGAAGTTCACTTGATAGCAAGTATAAGCGACAAAGCTAGGTCAATAATTGTATTCTCAATTTATAAGAGAGATAATTCTTAACTTGATATCGAGGGAGTTCACTTGATAGCAAGTATAAATAATAAAGTTGCAACCAACGAACAAGCGATAAAGTTGTGGCCAAAAAATAATTCTCAATTTGTAGATAATTCTCAACTTGATATTGAGGAGATTTATTTGATAGCAAGTATCAATGATAGAATAGCGATCAAGAATGAGCAATAAAGCTATGGTCAAGGAGTGATTCTTAATTTCATACTAAGGAGGTGAATTCTCAACCTAGAAAAAAGGAGATCAAACTACACTATGTATTAAAGAAATAATTTTTTCTCAACCTAATACCAAGGAGATTAATTTGATTTCAAAACGTGAATTGCTAAATTGAGGCCAATAAAAATGGATTCAACACAGGGGCCATATCAACTTATATCTCAATTTGATTTTGAAGATTAATCTCATGTACAATTAAAGAAAACTCTCAATAAAGTTTAAGGTAATAACTTTTTTCTTAAAGTTATAAGAAGGCAAACATTTTCATCACTTTTGCAATTTTGGTAAAAAAGCATGCATTATAATGGACATTTGTTGGAATAATAAATGCTTTTCATTTTCTCATGTTAAGCTTTTTTTTTAATTGAAATTTTTAAACGTGTATAAACAAAATAATAATAGTAAAGAAATGCTTGAATAGTTGAAAATAGTAAAAGCTAAAGACTAAATATTTGTAATTGATTAAACTTCTAAAATGAAAGAATAAATGTTCCAATCAAATTATTGCTCCACCACTGAGAATCTTGTGGCATTAAGATTTTTCACATCTAGTAGAGTAGCTCATGTCATGTCTTTGGTGAAGTTTTACTCAATGCAATCACTCCTCCCCATGGAGTTACCAAAATGTAGAGAGGTTTTTTGTTAAGGTGAGGAACCGTTGCAAACAAGTAGAGCAGGATATGTAGGGAAACAGCGTAGAGGAAGATTGGAGCAGATCCTGAAGCATGTTTGCTGCGGCAGGTGGTGAAGCAAGGTTGAGTAAGCAAAAGAATAAGGCTGAAAAAAATATTTAGGAAGAGAGAATTACAGATAAATTTGAGTAAATTTGCCAAAGTCTCCAAAAGTCTTCCAAATGAATTATGGAAACTTATATTTATAGGTTTCAAGAATAGAAGTTATATATCTTGAGTGTTAAATAGTAATAATAGTGAAATTGATGGTTATAAAAGGTATTAATATATTAAATATGAATAATGGTGAATAATGGAGGAATTGACCGTTACTGTATTGGTTAATGAGAGTTTAATTAGCTTTTGGTGATAGGCATGGTGAATATAGAAATTCATTATCTGTTCTGAAAAAAAGAGAGAAGCACTCATATTTTAGAAAAGAGTTAAGAGGAGCCCTCCTAACTATCTCCATTTCTGATCCACCAAGCCATTCTCCAAAACATTCCAATAGTGGAATTAACTCAAGAACCCTGTCATATTTCAAGAATATTTGCCTTTCTTCATTCAGTGAAGTAATATTCAGTGAAGCATTTTTTACGAAACAACTCTTAGTGAAGTAACTTTTGGTGAAAGAGTTTTTGGTAAAAGTGTTGATGTTGTTCCTTGAGGAAGTTGTTCTAAGAACAGCTGTTCTATAAAGGTGTTGTTCTATGAAGAAGTTATTTCTTGAATAGTTGTTTCATGAACAGTTGTTCTATGTTCTATGAAAGAGTTGTTCTATGAATAGCTATTCTGTAAAATAACATTCACTGAAACAATCTTATTACCTATTTTGACTTATCCTCAACTTTAATAATTTTAAAAAAATTTAAAAGAATAAAATATTAGTAACCGAAATCAAGAATTTACGACGAGTAATCTTATTTCCTGTTTTCTTTAATTGCCAAAGAAAATTTTAGATAGGTTCTTTTCTTGGGAAGTGCTGGCTGGGTAATGAAAGCAACTTAAAAATTGGAATTCGTTAAATAAAAATGCTTTAATGGCCTTGTGTTTAGTCTCATTTTTGCCATATGACGGGTTATCAACAACATTTTTAGGAGTAACCTGGAGCCAGTTCCTATCCTACTTCCCCTAATGCTGTTTGAATTTTGATAATGACATATTACATTAGCGTGATTATAATTTGCTAATCTGAGACATCTTTATGTTCTAGTTTTGTTGGGTGCATGACCTGAACCAACAATATCTGAAGTCTAACCATTCTGCTTACTGCTTGTCATTACTAGTTGGATCTTGATATTTGAGTGAGTACATTCTATAGTATTTTTCAATTGGACCTATTCTTTTTGGTGGTGATGAATTCTAAGAATTCCTCAGTTCATTGTGGGTTTTCATACTTTCAGAGTAAGAAGAAACCCATTGAAGTTGCAGAAGAATTGGAGGCAGATCAGTATCATGGGTTCAACCTGATCTTGGTTGATCTTTGTTCAAAATCAATGCTTCATGTGACAAACAAACCGAAGGAAAATGGAAACTTTGTCACTGTGGTTTCACCTGGGATTCATATGCTATCAAACGCAAGCCCAGATTCACCTTGGCTCAAGGTAAAAAGGTATGTATACTTTTTCAAGCACATAACTGGATCTGTTAAAAGTTTTTAGTTTTCGTTTGTTGCCTGCCAATAGGCCTAATACTTGATCTGGTGTTGATGTTGTATAATAACTACATCCCAATTGCACATTTAGTGGATATGCTTGAAGTCTAATAAAATGTAAGATCTTGTCATTTCTTGTTTGCAAAGTGGCCACATGTTCAGCTAACAATATATCCATTCATCCTATATTCTTTCTAGCTTGTTTACATGGTTAAATTTTTCAGAAGTTAGTGATTTTTCGTGCATATTCTCGATTATCTTGCCATTGTTGGCCAAAGAAGTTAGCTATTGACTTTATATCAATGCTGCTTAGTTTGTTTGTTGTAAAGGTAGTTCTGCTGGATATTCAGTTGCATGTTCTATAGGTCTCTTTCTTGGCTATCAGCGATCTTGATATTGCTTATTCTACTTTGTCTTTGCAGGCTTCAGCGATTGGATCATAATTTCAAGGTCATGGCTAGATACGGTAAAAGAAGAACTTCCCCTTGCATATCTATGACAACAGGTTGGTTCGGGATAGACTTTTTCTTGTTTCAACTTTGAATTTACATTTGATTTTACCTGACATTAAAATATTATTTTTTGATACATGATTCAATTTGATCTGTATAAATTAACCTAATTCAAAATTAATTTAATAATTCTAATTTAGTATAATATTTATAAAATATTTTTTAATATAAATTATACACTAATTACACATAAATATAATATTTTTTAAGTTAATATCTTAAATTAAAATATTAAATAATAATTTTATTAATATAATACATATATAAATATAAAATTAAATTATATATATATATATATATATATATATAAAGTCGGAATAGTATTGCTTAAAACTTGATAACCCAATTTTAAAAAAACTCTACTTGTCTATGATGGGACTCTCGATTTCAAAACAAAAAAAATTCTGATTTATCGAATTGGGATAGATTAAAACTAATTGGATATTGTTTATTGTCTAATATGATGCAAGCATGCTACCTCGCGTACATCCTTTTATGTTTGAATATCATTTAAGTGCCATATGCATAGATGTACCTCGTCCCCAGGTAATCTAATATGCTCCTTCCTCAAATAAGAAAGTTTAAAACCGAAGTCAGTCTGTGCAGGGGCGTTTTGGCTACAGAAACCAGTCAGCGTTGTCTGTGAAATCAAATGGGGAGTCTGCTTTTATGAAAGATATTTGGGCAAGCATCTCTGGAAATTTACTGAGAGAACATACTCTCGTAAATCATAAATACAGTAGTCCCACCATGCAGACCAAGTTTCAACTCGTTTACTGACACCAACAATAACATACTTCTCTTACAAGAGAAAGTCGTCCCTACGTTACAGAACTAAATGGCCATTTTTCACATTATGATGAAACAACAGATTGCATAAGCTCGCTCGAGCTTATAACAATGTTGAAAACCTGTCCTGCTCACGAAGCACAGGTGACATAGGAGCAACCGGTACCACATTTACAGAACAGCTTTCCGCTCCCAGTGAATTCAGTCTCGTTGCTTGTGCATGGATTGCAGCGACGATGCTCCCCGGAGAAGCATCTCTAGTGGTATGTACCGCTCGTAGTCTCGCTGGCTGTGCACCTGTTTGATTATTCCCAAACATAGTATCATTATATTCATTAAGGCAATAACTCTTAGAATTGGACTGAAACCTGTGCTCTGTAGGGGTAAGATTATAAACCATAACTTAAGGAGGTGGTCGATTTAAATCCACACAGACAGCCAAGTAGGCCATGGATTGTATCAGTACCACTATAGCAAATGAGAGAGGAATCAAAGAGGGGCCATCTCCTGGGGCACGATAGTTTGGCAGCCATTAAGAATCCCAACTGTCTATGCATGGCTTGTCATAGCCAAATATCTATCAATATGCTGCACACATGCGGCGCTCACGAATGGTACGTCAGAGCAAAATTTATACTATCACTGACCGCCAGCAAAGACATTTGCATGTTTTAATTGCCCCCAAAGTCCCAATTGTGCTGCGGATCAATACAGGCTAAAAGAGAGGAAACCAGGAGAAAAGAAAAAAAAAAGAAAGAGTAGGGACTAATGAACCTGCCGCAAGCCATGCCACCGGGCATTGGGAAGGACAGCCACACGACGACCCCTCTAACTTCAGCCCTGTTATCCGCCATTTTTCAGTCTTGTTATATGAATTGTGAAGCTGAGTGTGAACCACCCTGTATTGCCTTGGTATTTTGAAAATCTCAACAATAAAACTGAAAAACACGCCAAAAAATTTCACTGCAAATTTTCTCCAAATAACAGTAGAGCCAATGGAATGGGAACAGGCTCGGGGCAGGGACTTGATACAGATGATGACACATATACTAAATAAATTTATTTAACCTGTTCTATTTCTCCCTTCTGGTTTTGCTAAAGGACTTTTCATCGTTGAAGCACCTTAAAGTTTGGTTTAGAACTTGACAATTCAATTCGAGTTAATTGTATTGAGAATAAGACGTTTCGAGTTCACTTGGGATTGATCCATATTGGAAAAGTTCGGGGTTTTCCTCTTATAATTTTTTTTAAAAATTTTTTTGATAAAAGGATTCTTATAATTATAGTTCTTAATGATATTAGAATAATGAGATTAAGGTTTAATTGAAGCGTTACTGTTCCTAACATATTATTTACAAATAATATCATGGTTTTGTCATATTGTTGTAAAGAGATTAAACAACTTTTGTTGCCAACATTTCTTTTAATGTTCCATTCATATTATTTGGGGATCAATCAGCTGACATTTTGACCAAGCCTGTTCTTAGACACAAGCTCTTGATATCAGATTTTATTAGCACAGAGCTTAAGAATAAATAGAAATGGTTAGTTGGCTGCTTATAATACTCAATCTCATAAATATAATCTTAATTAATACTTCTCTATCTCAGGTAAAAACGATTTTAATTTCATATTTGTTAGCCATTTTTTTTCAATTTTGATCTAAATTATTAAATATTTGATTAAATTAAATTTTAATTATATTTAAAAATTACCTTTTTCATATTTAAAATATATATTTTACTAAGTTTCATTAATAGTAATAATTTTAAAAAAATTAATTTAACCAAATAAACTTGAACTCCAACACTAAAAACAAAAGAAATAGAATACTTATTCATCAAAGACAAAGGATAGCACCACTCATCACATGACACTTGACATTGTCAGCACATTTTTTCTCTTCGATTCCCTTAATACTCATATTCATTACTGTTACAGTGACCGTATCACCATAAAACAACATGAATAAAGCTAAGGCAGAGCTGCAGCTTGAGCCTGATCCATAGAAGGATCGATCAAGATTAATCAAGAGGCACAAGCAGTGCAAGTACAACCATCCCCACATTAGCAAAAGCCCTTGCCAATGCCAATCCCACCGACAGCATTGGCGCATGAGCATGGGTTGCAGCTGCAGTGTTCGCCACACGAACGCCTGTGACCATCCACTTTCGATGTCTCCTGTGATGCACACCAATACTTTGAATTGGTTATACTTATATATTTTTTGATTGAATCTTCCAAAAATATCCTTACAAATCTATCCAAGAAACAAATGCTTGTATATACTTACGTTACATTTCTGGGTTTTAACTTGGCAGGATATTCCCGAGTTTTAACAAAAGCGATGCAGTAAAATCTGTTGTTGAATTATTAATTCTGATTAATTCTGATAATCAGGAGGGAGTTAGGTCAAATCCTGACGTATCAAGTACAAAACAAAGTTTTAACAAAGTAGGATGAAGATTATTGGGCTGAGACAAGGAACAAAACACAAATTATAATCAAGTCATACGTCGATCAAATCGAAGTGTGGACAGACACTTTTTGTTTTTGTTTGGTTAGTACTTTTTACATAGGTGTAAGGTGTTTTTTCCCTTGATTTTTTTTCTGTATGGAGCATTCAGATTATCACTAAAGTTATATCATGCAGCAGAGATTTAACATGGTGAAAGAGGAGAATTCTAGAGGCAAAACAGAAAGTTAGACAGTACTATGCCACATTTTTCGGCAGAGACAGTATGGATGATATTTCTTTGGGTCCTTATTATGTATGCTGTAGGAAGGGATCCAATGAGATGAATAAATCCCAAGAGTAGGTCCCTGAAATATGTTACCACAGAACCCGGACAGTATGGACCATAACAACAATGCATGATCTTTTTCTATGGTCATGCGTCCCAAGGCAAAATATGTCACCAAGCCCCCTAGAACGACTTAAAAACTGGAAAAAAAATACAGAGAAAAAGAAGATCAGTACTGAGTGACCTGCAAGCCTCGGCACCCGGACATGGAGAGGGGCAGCCACATCTCTCATCACAAGCGACACTACTTCTCTTGGCCTTCATTACATTCACTTTTCTCTTCGAATCCTTCAAATCCATTCCGACAAGCTACTTAATAATGGACTATCCTCTATAATTACTATGTTCAAAAACCAGGAGGAGTACTAAAATTTCATCATCTTTTGGTACATGAATTCAAAAGTATATATGAAACGAATGCAAGTAATTCGTTCACCTTTATAAATGCTGCCTCTTTGCATTATCTTATTTGCATGAAAAACAGATGGTACCAGCCGCTACAGAGGGGCTAACGCATGGGCATGTACGTGGCACGAAGAACCCCTCGGCTAACACGTATGCCCAAAAGGCAGAAAGCACGCGCTTACCGGTGCCACATCAGAACAAAAGCCATTCCTGAAAATAAGAATGGATTCGGTCAATTTCTTGTACCAATTTATTTCACTCCATTCTCAAAATCTCATCTTTAAAATATATGCAAACTTTCAACTTGAACATTCAAATAAAAAAAATGTTATAATATTCATGTTATATTTTATATGAATTTAATATTATAATTTTCCCAACGCATCATCTTATCATATTTAAATTATCATATAAAATAGACCAATAATTGCTCTAACTGCCACTATTGCTTGACATCTGTAAGGCGAAGATTCTCTGATATTCTTCGACCTCTCCAGTCTCCAATCATAATCAGAAAGTCAGTGAAAATAGCAGCAAATTATTTTAATAGAAAAAAAAGTTAAGGTTGAAAACAAAAGGAAATGAAAGAAACAATTTTGGAAGTATATATAATATTACGAAGACATAAGCAGTAGATGGAATGATATATCACTGGAGTCCTGGCTATGTCTTGTTGACAGATCACTATTAATAATGCAGTAACAGTTGTGCCCTCCAAAATAGGTAGAGCCCCAGAAAGAAAGGGAGAGGTCGTGATGAAGACAAGAAATTTCAGTTCAACTTCCAGTTTTATATCTATGGCAACAGCCAAGGCTTTGATGTCCCATTAAGAAATTTGTCCTATCTGTTTTTCATTTTCCATTTAATCGAGCTTTATTTCCGCTGTGATTATTGATGATGCTCGTTTGAGTGCTCGTTAAACTCATCTAACTAATTTCTCCAGTCTGCACTCATCTCTGCCATGCTGAGATTTATAATGTGCAGGGCCCCCCATGATTATTGCCTTAATAATTTGTTTTTCCATGATACGTTATTCACAGGCTTGGTCTAATATCTTCCCGCTTCAGACGATTTCAGAAAGAGTTTTTAGATTAGTACAATTAAGATTATCCCCTAAATACTTTTAATAAAGGGCTCCTTCCTTGTCTCAAGAGGGCTCTAGGAATGAAAAAAAAAAATTAAAAATTTTATTTAAGATAATAATATTCAATTTTGATCGGATCAATTTTTTTAGTTCAAAATTTGAATGAAATTTAAATATTAAACATATATTATATTTAGATTAAATTTTAGATTGAGAAATAAAAATTAAAAAAATCAAATTGAATTGAATTATATATTTTTATTTATTTTTATATATTTTTTTAATTTTGATAAAATAAAAATAATTATTTTATATTTAAATTTATTTAAATATATTTAAAATTATATTAAAATAACATTTAAAAATTAAAAATTAAAAACCAATTAATCGAATCAATTTGATAAATTTTATTTAAATTAAAATCATATTTTAAAATTTTTATTTAAATTAAAATCATATTTTATAATTTTATAATTTTATTTATTATTCAAAAAAATCGAATGAAATTCATTTGGATGCAAATTGTTGCCACTTTTATCATGCCCTTTCTAAATACAAATACATGGTAGGTGAAACTCCCATCGTGTAGTGGGTGACTTAGGTGGGTTTGGGTAGAACCCGTTTTTGTGGGATTATCCACTTTTTTGTGCAATTGCATCATTGGCAAGTAGTTTAGATAACAAGTTGTTTGGATAACCATTTTGCACCGATTCTTTGATTGCACTGTATCTCTAGTTAATGACTAGACCCGTGATCCAATGAAAAATCACAAGTTTCAAACGCAGTTTTTTATCAATTATACCCTCTGTTGTTTTTTTTTTTTATTCAACACCTGTTATTTTTTCATTTTTTAATTTAAATTTTTTATTTAAAAGTTTTCAAATAAATTTTTTCTTTTTTTAAGATTAAATAATTAATTCTTAATTATTTATTAATTAAATTATTACTTGACATAAAAATATTTACTATTTTGTAAATTATTTATTAATTTTTAAATATTAAATAATTTATAATTTTTATTATTTACCTTTCTAATCTAATATCTTTAAAAATTATTTTCTTACAATATAATCCATCTTATTGTCATCATTAATTTTAACTCACTTTTCACCTTCTTTATTATTTTTAATCTTATTAAAATCAATCTTATTATCTATTTAAATTAACTCTAAACTTTTTAAAAATTCGATCAATAAAATGACTCACATGATACAAATTGGATTGAGCAATTGATCGATTCGATTAATTTGGTTCGAAAATTTTAAAAATCAATTTAATCGACTTAATCAATAATAAAATTGAACCGATTTAATCTTAAAGGTTTCAATCTATTTTTTTGATATAATCGACTCTCATTTTTTATTTCTTATATTTAACTTTTAATTAATTAATTTTGTGTAAATTATAAAATATAAAAGATAAAAAAATATTAAAATTATATTAATAAAAACATAAAATATTTTAATAATATTTAATCAGATTTTTTAATCGATTCAATTCATAAATTTTGAAACTAAAGATCAACTACCTAAACCTATTTAACCGATATCTAAACCAATTTAATATGTATAACAGAAAAATTCAAAACCAATTTAATTTATAAACCGATTTTTAATAAATTTTTTTAGTCAAAACCAATTTCTTCACAACCTTAAATGCAAGGGGAGTTCCTCCCACCACTACGTATCCGAAGAAAACATCACGGAATAGAGCTGTAGCTAAATATTGGTGCGAAAGCAACATTAGGAAGAAAAGAAGAATCTTATACTTTAATATCAGGTTATTAATGTAGCGGCATCTAGAGATTGCTCTTTTGACTAATCACTTTCGGTTGCTTAATTGGGTGAAGGAAAATCTTGCTCTGCCTTCCTAACCAATTCTGTTATTTTGCCCTTTCTGAGAATGGAAAAAAATTCCAGTGAAAAGGTGGCCATCACGGGTATTTTCTTGCTAAGTAATCACAATCAATTTCCTTTAAAATGACTGCAGGAACAGAATAGTTCAATTGGAGTAGCTTAACCCAAATGATTAAAGATCATATGTCTGCCATTGTTTTTTACTAATATTGAAGCATAACTCAACTTTTGAGTGGGAGAGAACTTGGTGCCAAAATCTTTCCCTGGCAAGCAATTGTCTATTTGTTTCCGTCATTACAGTGTGCATATGGGCTCCCCGTGGTTCCCCAACTCAACCGACTGGGACAGTGTTGTTTGGTGGAGTTCCACCCTGTGGCAATAGGCCATTGTGAGATAGATTTGGTAACAATCAGAGGCCTCATGTTTTGGATAGTTTCTCCTTTTCCTTTATTAATCAACTGTCTTTTCCTCTTATTTACCTTCTGAAAGTATCTGCATTGTATTTGTGTACATAAGATAAAAGTATAATTGAACTGTTTTATCTCCCCGGTGTTATTTTAAAGAACCAGGACTAGAATTCAATGGACCTGCTTGTTGATAGAATTTGCTAGTGAAACCCAAGATTTCTATGCTTAATGAAATACATTCATGGGTTTTTTTAATCTTTTTGGTTGATGAAGAATTTGGGACATATCGACATTACCCTTATAAGTGTTAACGCATATAGCCTTTAAATTACATTGAAATATTTAATATAACATTTAAATTTTAAAAATTTTTAATATGATATTTAAATTATTAATTTGCTAGTGAAACCCAAGATTTCTATGCTTAATGAAATACATTCATGGGTTTTTTTAATCTTTTTGGTTGATGAAGAATTGGGACATATCGACATTACTTTTATAAGTGTTAATGCATATAACCTTTAAATTACATTGAAATATTTAATATGATATTTAAATTTTAAAAATTTTTAATATGATATTTAAATTATGAATTTGATAATTAATATGATATTCATTCTTAATATAATTAGCTTCAAATAATAATTCATGACAGGTAAACAGTATTTTAAATATTACATTAATTAATAAATTTATAATTTAAATATTATATTAAAAAAAATTTAAATTAAAAAATATTATATTAAATATTTTAATATAAAAATTATTCATAATATTATCTCTAAAACTATCAATAGTAATTGAGTTCGAGCCGTTGAAGAAAATAACTTATTAACTTTGAGTGTGTAAGTTTAAGTTTTTAGTTTAAATCAATCTCTTTTTCAGCAATTTAAACTCAGTAGCAACTAAAACAAAAAGATTTTTTTCTTTCCCTTTAATTGATCCCAACCACTATTTCAATCACCATTAATTAGTAGTATGAATTTTGGAGTTTTCAAAATTCAACTTGAATCTCAAACAACCGAGCGGATACCAAACTCTGTCTCACTATAGTATCAACAGAGAACAGAATTTAACCTCTCTCTCTCTCTCTCTTTCTCTCTCTCTCTCTCTCTCTATATATATATATATCTTGTAAACTGCCAAAGAGATTGAATTGCATGATTCCCCTCTTTCACCAAACCCCATAAATCATTTCACTAAACTCTAAAATTGAAATGGGATTTATTTTAGAGTGACCATCTGTCATCATGTGCTTGCTACCAGGAAAAAGAAAAGAAAGCGTAAAAAGTGCTAGTGCTAGTACTAGTAAAAGCATTCCACTTTGTCCAAACTTGAAGAGATCAAGAGAATTAATCACCAGAGAAAATCAGTGAATCACCTGATTGAATTTAACCCCAAAATATGAACCTTGGACCCTTTGCATTATGTATGATTATCGTTTATCAGTTTTGCAAACCAAGCAGCAGCTGCACTATAACCAAGTATAGGGACCCTTTTCAACTGTCCTTCCATTGGGGTCACAGGGCAGAGGCAGCAGCAGCTCATGGCATGAACAGAAAAGATCAGGGCAAGCAGGGATAGTAAGTCCATAATAAAAACTAATCCTATGTGTACTTATATGGGTCCCAATATTAGCTGTGGATCACAAATTTTTTCATTAAAGTTTGAGGGTTCTACCACCCACTTGCCCCAAAGGACAAAAATTGTTTGCCCCTTGTTTCCCTTCATGATTCAAAATTCATGACCTCTTTTTTATATCTATAAATAATAAAGTTTTGAAATAATACAACAAGAAATATAAAGCCAAAAAAAAAAGTTAAAATAATACAGAAAATGAAGAAAATGAAAAAGCAAAACAACATCATTAGTACCACGATTATCATGTGTAGGAGGAGATTGCTATGGTGGGAAAATTTTTTCTTTTTTTGATTCTCTTTTCTTTCAATTATTTTTATTGCATGCATAGCAACATAATACGAGATAACATCTTCAAATCAAGCATCTTAAACATTAATATCTAACAACTAGGACAAATTTCATGCATTAGTTTTTGTCTTACATGTGAAGCAGAAACATGTCCATCCGCTGGGACACTGTGAACCATTCTGGGTCACTTCCAAGCCCCAGAATTGAATGCCTTCGAAAACATGAGGATTATCGGATTTTGAATGAACAGTATAACACTTTTTGACAGCATAATTTCTAGCAAATAAAGTATAAAATGAACACACCGTAAAGCTTAAACTATGCACTGTTTTGCATTATTTACATGCCAATCACCAATCAAAGATTCTTCTTAGGCCACAGCTTTGATCAATCAACAACTTTTTTTACTATTATCACAAGCATTATTGTTGCTGCAATAGGAAATTGCTGTAGCTTGGTGCAGGACTGAACAATTTTCTAGGCTATGGATTTCATGAGGAATTTTGCAACAACAGGAACAGTTCAAACTTCAAAAAGAAGAAACACGTTTTGTAGTTAAAGCCGGAAATCAAAAGCTGCTAAAAAAATAGAAGAATAGTAACATATTTACAACTGCAGAACTTTTCAAAATGAAAAATTATATTATCTTAAAGAAAAATAATAATGCTATAAAAATATGAATAAATATTACAAAAATAAAATTTAAACACCATCCAGCTCTTTATACATCTCTGAACTAAACCATAATCTCCAGCACTATACTCGGTATACATAACTATGTTCCCCCCATAAACCCATAAAAATTAATATAAAAAATCAAGATTCCAAAGAAAAGAATCTGATTTAAATAAAAAAACCAAGACAAAACAAAGAAAAAAAGAAAATTAATCCAAAGCATTTGGACCGGCACAAGCTTTCAAGACAGGACTCCAAATCCATTGCACCAAAAATTTCCTTCCATTATTCCCATTCACGTTATAAGTCTTCCCTTTACCATCCCTCATAACTTGACCAATATACCCTCCTCCTCCACCCGTTCCGTACAACCCTTCACACAGATCCCCGATCTCTGTCGGCGACGTCGGGTCTTCTCCAGCGTACCACGCGTTCACAAGCGGGTTCGTCGCCAGCTCGGCCAACTCGTGTGCGATAACACTAATCATCCCGTCCAAGCCGACGTCTCCGTTCGGTGGGGCCAATGCCCCCGGCCCACCGCCGGCCATGTATCCCGGAACGGCAAATGGGTAAGCACAGACCTCGGGGCATTGTTTCCCAGAGTTCCCGATCCAAGCATAGGGTAAAGTGTAACCCACCATGGACGGGAATGTGAAATAATGGAAGCCGCAAACGGCACGGCAAAAGTCTTGAACGGTAACGTCATGGGAGGTGAGGATTAAGTAGATTCCATTACGATGGTCCACGGGGAAAGGAGCAGTTTTGACGGCGGTGGCAATAACTTGTTGGATAGAAAGGCGGGTGAGCTGAGAGCCATGGGAGTAGCGCATGTCTGAGTGTTCTTTAGCTATAACAACAGTTCGGGAAACGTTGGCTCCGGTTTGGTCGGTGTAAAGAGAAACAGTTTTCCACCATTCGGAAACGGAAGGGGAAGGTGAAGAAGAAGAAGGCTTGGTGGAAGGGGAGATGGAGGTTATGAAGTCTTTGATTAGGAGTTTTTGAGAAACAGACCAACGACCGTACCAAATGAGGTAGATGTTGATCGGTGAAGAAGAAAGCACCGGACCCATATGGTAACGGAGGTCCACTAGGTTCGATGAGCCTTCGAACTTTTTGGAAGAAGAAAGGGTTCTCGGTGGAAGCTTGGGGTTAAAGAATCCACCTCCTTGGGTGTTTAAAGTTTGCTTCTTTGGATTAACAATTGTTGTTGCTGCTACTGAAGAAGTAGCAGAGAATGAGAGTATTATAAAGGAAAATAAGAAATGGTGAAGAAACATTTTTGAGCAGTGACGACAGAGAAAAAATGAGTTGGTTATGGAGGTGGCGGTGGAGGTGGAGAGAAATGAGGGGAGTGGGGGGTATATAAAGGAGGGAATGGAGTTATGGGATGGAAGGGAAATGGGCTGGAGACAGCTGCAATGTGTGGGCACACTCACTCTTTCACTTTCTCTTTACATCTCTCAACCTCTCTCGTGTTTTTTCCTGGAGAAACGGGAATCGACTTTTGGATTGAAGGGGTTTCGATTTGACCCCTTGGCCCCCTCCTTAGTCCTTCCTTTTTAAAAAAAAAAAAAAAACTCGGCTCCTCTATATCTTTTTTATCTTGCCTAGTTGTAGTTCTACACTTCTGCTACTGGTTAAAAAACACTTAACAACTCCCCCTTTAATCATTTCATTAGCCTTTTACTTGCTTGTTTTTTGGTTGGAGTCGGTCAAGTATTTATTGCAACTTGCATAAAGCTTTGGCAGCTTACGACGAAGGTCACTTGCGTCAAAACCCAATATCTTTTCAAGGTGACTTCATTTGTTTTGTTCTGAATCCATATTACACCCTTTCAATAATGAGATAACGGTTGGGTTCAATTTTTATTTTGTTATTTCCGTTGATTCGTAACATCATAAATTTTAAAAAATCGATATCAATTTGAACCCTTTTTTTTTTTTAATTTACCCAATTCAAATCAAATTTGTAGATTTAATTTAGTTTATTAGATTTTAAAATTTATTTTTAAAACTATTATTATTATTTTAATATTATTTTTAATATATTTAAACAATAAATATAAAATATTTATTTTATTTTATAAAAATTTAAAAATATATAATTTATTTTAATTAAGATATTTTTAATTTTCCTCTTCCCAATCAAATTATATTAAAATATTTAATATTCAAACCTAGATTAAACCCAATAAAAAAAATCAAAATGAATACTATAATTTCAAATTCATTATCACTTTTTTTTTCAACTCTACTTTCAATATGCTCAAATGACAGGTCAATGTTATTAAGTGAACAGTACCTAACATAATAATATTTTAAATTATCATCAGATTTTCAGGATATTTTTTCGCAAGTCAATCGGTCCCTAATTATAGTGATATTTCATTGATACATTTTTTTACATAATATAAATATTCATTACATATATATCCTCATAATTATCGAATCAAAATAGTAACGTATGACTTTCTCCTCTTAGTCCAAGTAGTTAAGAGATCGTTAAAAATCATCTAGGCGAGGGTTTAATCTCCGCCATGGCCCCTCCTTCTTGTACGGGCACTAACCCCCCTTGAAACCCAAAAAAAAAGTAGTAATGTATATTTGGAGTGTGTGCTTTTTGCATTCATGGCGTATTAGTTAATCAAACTTTGGCATTAAAAGACGCAAAAGTTCCATGTGAATAACAGTGAATTAATCTGTATCCCAATGGCCAATGAGATTTAAGATTAGTGATAAGAGGAAATTTTAAAATTACGAGATTTTATATTTAAAATTTATTATTAATGAATTGATTTAATTTTATGTTAAATTTTATCTAATTGTATTTTAATTATTGATTAATTTATTCATTTGATTATTCAAATACTTAATTATAATTATAATTTATAATTTCATTGAAAAAAAATTATATGCCAACGGGATGTTTCAAATATATATCTTACTTTTAGTTCTTGTTAATTTGTTACTTGTTACATATGAAGGCATAAACATTCTTTTTTTTTTTTTTAGATATTCGGTAAAATTGCATCATAATTTTGAACAGTAAAAATCAAAATATGTGCATAGGTTTATTGATTGATTGAGTTATAATTTATATTCCCTTCCTTTCAAATTGTTCCTCTGTTTAATTTACATTAAAAAAAAACTATCACTTAGTGAATTACTAAATTTTAATTTTCTAAAATTGTTGTTATTAATTTCATAAATTTTTGTTGTATCATAGTGGCATGATTCACATACTCTATGGTTACTTTAGGTTGCTATAATAGTAGATCAGGTGCAATAGATATCTCATAAAATAGATTATAGACCTTTAATTCACATGTAGAAAAATTATTGTACCAAAAACAACTATAACTAGTTATGTAGCGAAAAGGTATAATTTAGACCAATTGCTCGATGTTTAAATCAATAAGATGTTTGAGTTACGAGTAGGGATGTAATCAAGCTGAATCCAGTCAATACAGTGAGAAGCTTGAGTTTGGTTTTCAACTCGAGACTCGATACTCGGTTCAAACTAGATCGAGTTTTATTTTTTTAGTTTGAGTTCGATTCGTGATCGAAATCAAGTTATTCGAACTTGTTCGATTAAGCTCGATTAATAAGTTAAAATAAGCTTGATTCTTATACTCGACAAGAACTCGATTATTTGTACTCGAGCTCAAACTCAAATTTGATATATTTTATTGATTAAAATAATAAAAAAAGTTAAATATAAAAGCTCGATTAAGCTCACGAGCTATTGGAGCCGAATATGAGAATATTCGAACTCGGCTCAATTGATAAGTCGAGCTATTCGAACTTGATTCGATAATAATCGAACCGAATTCAAGTTTTATTCAAATCAAACCCGAATAGCTTACAAGTACTAATGTATTATTTACATCCCTAGTTATGAGTACCGACTAGTGTATATTAATTTGTGTTTGGATTGCGGACTACTTGTTTATAGTATTGTTTTGTGAAGACAATTGATTAAAAAATGAACAAATAACTTAAAAATATATTTTAAAAAATGTAAGAATTTAGATGTTTAAAATGTAAAACTATAAACACCATTTTATTTTTTATTTTTTATTATTATTATCATTTTTTCCTCTTTCTTTCTTCTTTTTTTTCTTTTTTGTCTCTTTCTTTCTTTGTCCTATTTCTTCTTCTTTTATCCGGTGCATTAAATGCACTATCACCAAAGTCTAAAATACCAATGGTCGCCACCACCGGCAGTCGCCTAACACATTGTCTGACTGACAAGCGTGAATTTTGAGTTAAAAATGTGGGATTCGAATCCCAGAAGATATGGGATTTGAATTTCAAAAAGCTCTATAAATAGAGCTTCTAACCTGCAAGGAGAATAGATGAGGAGAATAAAAAAAAAATGGAAAAAATTTTTATAAAAAAGAGTTTCCTGTAAAAAAAAAAAACTATTTTAGCTTTCTGTCAAAAAAAAAAAGAAACAAAAAAACCACAATCCCCAAGCAGGGGAACCTAGCGCCGAAAAAAAAAACACCTACAAAAAAAAATCAAGGTCAGTTGCAAAAAAAAACAAAAAAAGAGTTTTTAACCGAACCTTCAAAGATAGGTCTAGGCCGTTTGAGTATTCTTTTTGGTAAAACAGAGGTCGGATCTGGATTCTATGAGTCGAGAGAAGTTTGTGGAGAGATTTTTGAAATTTTTCGATCACCGGTGATCGACCAACGATGGTGCGACGGCAACAGCGGGGGTCGGTTGGCATCTCTGTTTTGGTTAAGTAAAAAAAAAAAAGAGGTTTTTTCTTTTTGAGAAGGGAAGAAATGATCGAAAAAATTTTTTTAGCTTTTATATAAGCTGCTAAAACAAAAAACGACGTCATTTCAATAATGCCCAAAATGATACTGTTTTGAACCCTGAGGATCCGTGCGTCAACTCAGGATCCACGCTCCCGACCCGATGACTCATTTCTCCTTCAGCCCCTGACCAGTCCATCTGAACCGGACCCAGGCTGAACCGTCCTTGAACCGCCAGACTGAATCGAGCCGTCGATCTGATCGAACCGGCATTGATCGGTTCAGTTCAGGTAAAAAAAAAATTTTTTTTTGAATTTTTTAAAGATTTTTTTAAAGATTTTTTTGTTATTTTAATTATTATTATTATTAATATTTATGCATGTAAAAATATTTAAATTTACCAAAATATATTTTTATTGTTTTATAATATTAATTAATAATATAAAATTCATAAAAAAAATAAGAAAAGAAAATTTTATCCAATGATAAGATTTAAAGGTATTTCGAGTAGTGATGTTTATGAAATCTCTAGATGAGAAAAATTTTTTTAAATACTATCAATGTATTGGAGTATTTATAAAAATTTTTCAATACAATAAAATTTTTCTTTTTGTTAACAATAAATAAAAATTAATTAATAAATTAACAATAAGTAATATAAACAAGGAAAAAAGAAAATTTTATCCAATGATGAGATTTTAAAAGTATTTCAAGTAGTGATGCTTTACGAAATCTCTAAATGATAAGATTTTTTTAAAATATTACCAACGTATTGAAATATTTATAGAAAATCTTCAATACAATAAATTTTTTTTTTCAAAATTAAAAAAAAAATTTAATAAAACAATTAATAAAATTTAAAAAAAAATAAAATGTGTGCATCAATATATTATTTGCATACATGACACAATTTTTTATGAAAAGTAAATTCGAACCTTTAAAGATTAGATTTTAAGGTATTCTGAGAAGCGATGCCTAATAAATCTCTAGGTAAGAATGAGTTTTTCTAATGTTATCAACGTACTGAAACATTTCAAGAATTATTTTAATAAAAATGTTCTAATTTATTTTTCTCGAATAATATTTGAATATAAAAATAAAAAATAAAAAATTCAAGAAAATTAATTTTCAAATGTCAAAAATATGACTACTTTTTATTAAAATCGAATGATAACATGTAATTAATTGGTACGTCTTAGACGGACGTTGTGGGAGTACTAATCTTTTCTCACACGTAACTGACTCCCAAACCCAAACTGTTGCGCAGACTCTAAAATTATCTTTTTAATAAATTTTAATTAATTTTAAGATTTCATTAAAATGATATGTTTTAATAGGTGACCAATCACACATAACCAAAAAAGATTGGTAGAGACTCCATTATTTTTTATTTCATTTTCAAATTCGTCAGACGGACACAAAATCGTTACGACAAAAACAATAAGTAATTTTAGTATATCATAAAAAAATGAAAAAAAATGAAATAGAAGGAATATGTATAATAATACATAGCCTAAGTTCATTAGTTTGATAATTTAAAACATAGTATAATAACATAACAGAAAAATTATATAAAAATAAATATGAAGTTGACACGTGTTAAAATTTTTAAAAAATTATATATAAATTTAATTAAAAAATATATTTTATATATTTTGTGTCAATTATAACATATAATTTTTG